CGCGGGCCTGGGCAGTCTGGGAGCCGGCGAGGTGGAACGGCGGGGCGAGCCTCCTTGTCAGGCCTCCGGTGGCCCTTTTCAGAGTGCGAGCAGACCTTACACAGAGGCTCTGACCTTGCCTTTCAGATGGCTAGCGGCTCCCGGTGATAAGTAACCCCGTGGGGACGCTGTGCAGAGCTGGGGGGAAAGGTCAGGCTGCACCAGGGAGTGTCTGACACCCAGGCGGGTACCTAACGCGCTTTTCTTACTTCTGTGAGCCCAGGGTAACTCCAGCCCCCGGGTGGGCCAGTTAGTATGGAAAATACCCCCTTTCAGGAAACAAGAAGAATCTACTTATTTATTTTTTAAAGCCATCTTTTTATTTTATTATTATTATTTTTTAATCATATTTTATTTAGAGAGAGAAACATCCATCTATAAGAGGAACATCCTTCGGTTGTCTTTCACATGCACCCACACAGGGGATCAACAAATTCGCTTTTCTAAAGCATGACTTCGATCACATCTCTTCTGTGTAGAAGGTCCACTGGCTCACAATTACCTTCCAAATGCCCCGTGAAACCCTCAGCCTGGGGCTCACCATCGGGTCTCTAGCCTGCCTTCTGTTCCCCGCCTCCACTGCCACCCAAGCGGCCAGCCTCCCTCAGCCGAGCTCACTCCACCTTTTCCCGCACGGCCCTCTCATTCATGCTCTGCCACAAGTTTTGCCTCCCCAAAATCTTTCCGGTAAATCCAACTCACTTTTATTCATTCATTTAGTCGTGTATTCAGGTGTGTTTGTTCAGCAAGCTTTCACCCAGCAGTTGCTGGCCACTGCCTCCCGGAAGCATTCCCTGGTTTCCCTACCTGCTTCCCCTCAGTAATATTGAGTGCTTTGGGCTCTGAGATTTCTCACAGGCTGCAAGGCAGGTCCTGGCTCTGCCGCCTGCACTGTGCCAGCCTCTGCGGCCCCATCTGGGGAGGAATAGTTCCCTCCTGGGGGGATGCTGTGGGGACTAAATGTGATAGCGATGAGTCTAGTGGCAGAGCCCTTGGGGTGAGCTCTTATTGTTCGGACGATTATTATATTATTATACTGCATTGCCCTTGAGGCAAGGACTGTGACCTATGATCTCTGTCCTCTCTAGCACTTTCTTTCCGATAGTGTCTGCTGTAATCATTTAATCGGGTTCATTTGGTTGCAAGATGCGGAGACCCCCGCTGAGACAGGTTGACGCTAAGTCTCTGGGCTGGACTGGAGGACTGAACAGATTCCCGGGGTAGCTCTTCCTCTCGCCAGAGACAGCTTCTCTCTCTGCATCTGTCCTCTCTGTCCTGCGAATGGCTCTGTGGCTGATGTACAGGCAGGACCCGCTACATAATTTGCTAGGTTCCTGGCAAGATGCATTGAGGAGGGTCCCTTGTTTAAAGGCAGGAAAAGAATGCTGTGAAATGCGCACTAAAATAAAAGCTTTTTCTTCCTTCAGAGGCCTCCTCTCTCCTTCCTCTGTTTCCACTTGAGTGGTGTTTGTATTTGCTATTTAATACTGACCTTCTTCAGGCAAGGAGATGTGTGCAGGGCAGTATAGACCTACACTGGGTTATAAAACAATAGGTGTGCTAAAATCTCATTTTGTTTTAAAATCTGTATCTTTAGTTCTATATGAAGTCTGGAAGATTATATTTTGAAATATGAACAGTGGGTTATCACTGGATGATGGTGTAGAATACCCTCCTCCCAACACATATACAAATAGATATACAGCTTAAATTTTCCAAAACGACTATCTATTAGTATTTCCCCCAAACCAACAACCCATACACACACTTATCTATGTCAAAATAAAAAAGGATTAAAATTTTAACAAAAGTACCTGAAACTTTTAGATAAAAGAATTACTATATTTAATATATAATGCATTCAAATAAGTCACTAAAAAAACAATAGGAAAATTGATAACAGTTGTGAATAGGTGATTCACACAAAAAGAGAACAAATTGCCAGTAAAAGGTTCACCTTTACTCTTTAAAAAATAAATTTAAATGGCAACAGATACAATTTTTCTGCAAGTTGTCAAAATTACAAATGAATGACACACAGGAGTAGCATATTTTAGACCAAATAGGGATAGTCGCATGCTTAGGAGGATATTTTGAAATAGCCCTTTGAAGGTCAATCATGTATATCAAAATGTGAAAGATACATGAGTTCTGACATTATATTTTTACTTACAGGTTTAACTCTAAAGAAGCATTTGTATTATTGTTTGTAATAGTCACAGATTTCAAATGTCCAACAAGCTATCAATACAAGAGTTCAGTAAACTTATGTTATTTCAGTCCATTCAATGAAATAATCATGTAGCATGAAAAGACATCTAAGTTATATTGTTAAATAGTTAAAGAAAAATATATGTTACAAACCCATTTATATAAAAACTTATCCATATATCCTATAGAATAAAGAGGTAATATGCAAATTGACCATCTCTCCAACACACAAGATGGCCACCCCCATGTAGACACAAGATGACCACCACAAGATGGCCAGCAGGGGAGGGCAGTTTGGAGGAACTAGGCCTGTAAGGAAGGGCAGTTGGGGGGATCCAGGCATGCAGGGGAGGGCAGTTAGGGGTGACCAGGCTGGCAGGGGAAGGTAGTTATGGGCAATCAGGCCAGCAGAGGAGCAGTTAGGTGTTGATCAGGCTGGCAGGGGAGTGGTTAGAGGGTGATCAGGCTGGCAGGCAGGCGAGTGGTTGGGAGCCATCAGTCTTGGGTTGTGAGAGTGATGTCCGACTGCCTGTTTAGGCCCGATCCCTAAATGGAGAGTCAGACATCCCTCAAGGGGTCCCAGATTGGAGAGGATGCAGGCTACACCGAGGGACACCTCCCTCACCCCCCATGCAGGAATTTTGTGCACTGGACCTCTAGTTACATATAAGTTAGTTAAAATCTATTAAACATTATGTGTGATAATATAAAATAGATGATGCTATGGTGCCATTTTGTAAGATAGCAGGCATTTTGCACATATTTTTTGTGCGCCCATGAGGACTGCTGTCCCTGGCACCCCTCTGCAATGGCACGGAAGGACGGCAGCACCAAACTCTTGCTCTGAGAACTGAGTCAAGGAGCAGAGACGAAACTGGCTGGTCACAAAGGATAGACCAGTGCAGGACCCGTGTTGTTGGCTGCTTATCAAACAAAGAGTGTTCATGCTCACAACAACCCCGAGAAGTCCATGTGGATCCCCATTTTTCAGATGGCCAAACTGAGACTTACCTAGAGGCACTAGGTTGTGCTGAGTACATTGCCAGTCATTTTCTTATAGTCCTTAGACCACCAGAATTCCACAACTTCCATACCCACATCCTCTTGTGGCCATGGCCCATCACCTCCCCCAATGCTAAAAAACAAAAACAAAAACAAAAAACGTAAGTAACCCATCTATGCAGATAGATCTTGGGAAATAGGAAAACCCCAGACATATCCTAATGACATATGAAAATTGGCAGACATTTCAGGCAGATTCTAGTCCCTCCCATTTTTCTCTCTGCTGTAGCTTCACAGAACCTCCTTTATCTTTTACATCTTACCCAATATTTACAGTGATAAGACCCTCTGAGAAGCCCTTGATTCCAGGCCCTGTTCTGTCACTGGCTGCTCGTGGGCTCTGGGCCAGCCCAGCAGTACACACCTGCTCTGTTTGCCCACCTCCAGATGAAATGGGAGTCGGGAGAGCCCTTTGAACCCTATAAAACAGAGAGGGTGACAAGTTTCTCCTTTTTTCTTCCCATCTCACTGACTGAGGTGTCGTCACACGGAAGCAGGAAACAAGGATGTTTTCTCCCTAAGACCCAGCTCACGTGCCTCTCCCTGCGACATATGGGGATCTTGCTCTGGAGAACGTGCGTGGCCAGGTGAACAGCTGTCGCCGGGTGCCCTTCTGAACGAGCGGCAGTAACTCTGGTAGCGGGAGCTCACGGAGACAGCTTAACTGCTTTGCCGCGAGAGTAGGCTAGTTTGGGTTTCTCCTTAGTTTCCGCCACTTCTGGATTTATTTCTCCTGCTTTTGTGTATTTGGTGATCATGGAAGGTGGCGTTTGCTTGGAGAGATGTTCTTTGGGGACCCCGGATATTTGTAACTTGACAAAATATAGGTTGGCTGGCAAACGATACAGAAAGAAAACATACAAACTTTTATAAAAAAAGAAAAAGTAGAGGAGGAAACATCAATATGTATCGAACACCTTAGAGTAAGTTCATCTTTTGTCCTAGTCATTCCATTGGGAAGGTTTTAGCTCTCAGATAATACTGGGTAACTTGAAATTATGTAGTATATTTAAGGAGATTTGTCAAACTATTGCTTAAGAAGATAAAAATCATCTTATTGCCCAATAATAGGGGATTAGTTAAATAAATAAAGGCACACCCACACAATAAAACATACCCTGTTCCTAGAAATGATGGGGCAGGTGTGTTATGCATATACACAAACATACGGAGAAGTAGTCTGTTGTTAAAATTAGATTATAAAACAATAGGTATGGTAAAATCCAATTTTGTTTTAAAGTATATATCTTCATTTCTATATAATGTCTGGAGGATTATATTCCAAAATGTGAACAGTGGTTATCACTGGATGATGGTATAGATTTATCCCCCTTCCCCAAAACACACACACAAACAGATATATAGCTTAAATTTCCCAAAATGACCATATGTTATTATTTCCCCCATAAAGACAAAATGTATAAACACAACAGAATTTCTACTTACTGTATCAAGAACTCCAGTGAGGCCTAGCTGTTGTGGCTCAGAGGTTGAGCATTGACCCATAAACCAGGAGGTCATGTTTGATTCCCAGTCAGGGCACTTGTCCAGGTTGGGAGCTCATGCAGGAGGCAGCTGGTCAGTGATGTTTCTCTCATCATTGATGTATCTCTCTCCCTCTCTCCCTCTCTCTCTCTTCCTTCCTCTCTGAAATCAATTAAAAAATATATTAACAAAAAAAGAATTCCATTGCTTCTCGGCCTTTTGGCTCAGATCAAGTATAGTATCTGTTCTTATCAGTTAATATCTGATATGTCCTCTATCTGAGGACATTATATTAAATGTATTTCTAGAGTAGGGAGATGGGATAGGAGCTTGCTCTGCCTACTACACACATCGACCCGGTACTGCAGTACCTCTAGGAATGGTGTACAAAAAAAAAAAAAAAAATTCCAATGAGGAGATGTCAGTAACAAAGACCTTATATCTACCAGGAATTACTGTCCTGGAGGTGAAATCTGCAGAATATTCAGAACTTTCAGCAATCTCCCTTGTTCTAAATCTCTGATGACTCTTGGTCGATTTCTCTCTTTTTAATCCTTAGACCTTGCGCATCTTAAAGATTTATCCCATTGTGTTAAAAGGGCTGAATTATTTGTTTCCCCTCCAGACCTTGTGGGCCAGGTGCCTGGCGGAGGACATGGCACTGAGGGGCTCTCTGTAAATGTTGGTGAATGAGTGACAGAGGGAGAAACAACCGTGGAGTATGTTAGAGGTTTCTGGAGGGAGAGAGATCAATGTCAAAAACTGTGTAATCGATTGTGGTAGTTGACATGACTTTGAAGGCTTTATCCAGGCAAAAATGGGGAGGGAGGCCATCAATTCCAGGCAGAGGGAACCATAGGATGACCTGGGACATGGGCCTTCCTGGGCAAATGGGGATGATGCTCACTTGATAGAACAGTGTGGTCAAGGCAGGAAGACAGAAAAGCAAATTTGGGGACTATGTCGCCCAGTTTGGCAAGAGTATGGCTTAGGAGTAGGGAAACCGTGGACTGTAAGGCTAGGAAGGTTAGATTGCCACTTGTTAACACATGAAGCACCCAGCCTGTTTTGTCTTCTGGACAGAAACTATAGTGTCAGTCCCCAGGGACTGGGTGCTTAATGTGTTAAAGAGGGCCTTGAATGTCTGGGTGAGACACTTGCTCTTCCTTTTGTGTAAGTTGAAAAACCAAACGTACTTTGAACCCTAAGTTTAACTCCTCTAGCATGTCTCTCTCCCTCCCCCATCTCCCTCTCCTTTTCTCCTTTGACATGGTTTCTTCCCCTTATAAAACACACTTTGAATTAATAACCAAATCCAAGTGAGAAGCACATTTCCTTGTTAGAGAGAAGTCGCTGGTGGGCACAAACTCTACTGAGCCCTCCACCTTCACACCTGGTTCCCCTGTGACCTGGGCCTAGATTCAAGACACACTCTGTGGCATCTGGGGAGCAGGACAGAGGTGGAGACCCCCTAGGGAGTGACCCTGGCCCATCAGCTGAGCGGGGAGCCACAGGCCACGCCTGGAACATCTGAGCAGAAGTCAGGGGCGTTCCAGCATTGGGGTCTACACAGAAGGCCATTGCCATCAGCATCCTGGCTTCCCTGTCTGTGCACTATAAAAACTGACAAAGAGGGCCTCGCTGCTGAGTTTCGGACTGAATGTTTAATGCAATTAATGCATATTTCATAGCACAGTAACTGCCAGCGCTCTGCTCCGCCATCCTCCCTAGCTGAGTTATGTACACAGGCATTGTGAGCCCAGCCGCAGAGGAAGCTGACAAAATGCGTGTCTGTGCAGCATGCCCAGCCCTTCCCTTTGCAGATCAGGGCCTCTCAGGGCCTCCCCAGTTCAGAACGTCCCTGAGCAGCATCTGAAACCCCCTCTGCCGAGCTGGGTGAATGCATCTTCCCTTGGAACCGCCTCTCAGCAATCCCTCGCCTGACGCCCTTCCGTTTCCTCCCCTCCCTAGCTCCAAGAAAAGTATAACCTGGGGGTTCTGTGCCAACACCGTCATGCCTCGGAGTGAGTCTTCGTGATTTCTCTCATTACAGAATCCCTAAAAGTGAAGACAGTGAGCTGTCCCCCTGGTCAGCCACTTGGTTTATTCCTTGATCAGTTCTGACAGTCCTTTCTTCGCAAGGCAGCTCTGCCCCCAGGATGGTTTGACATAAATCGGGGGCTCCTCGGCTCACCCGCTCATCATGAGTGATGGGTTTGGCAGGTTTTCAGGTGCCTGGGAAACAAAGCTCTGGGCCAGGAGAGCCAAACTGGGGCTCCGAAGGCGGCATTCGGCACGAGAGGGGGACCCACGGACTCACGTCTCCTGCTGTTTTTTCTCTGACTAGGCACCCAGCCAGCCCTTTGAGTCTGAGTCGTAGCCTCCGATCCAACATCAAGAAGCTCCCGGTGCACCTTTCCCTGTGCGATACCCGTGTTCCCGAAACCGTGCCGGTAATGCGGTTTCTGTGGGTAAATGCGGGCCTGTGTCTAGCGACTCTCATTACTTAAGACGCATTCTGGGTTGTTTTCTTTTAACATGTAAACGTTTCCTTCTCCCTACCCCAGTCACTTTGTCTAATATTTAAAGAAAGAAGAAGAAACAAATTTAGAACAGATTTAAAAGAATGCGAAAGCAAAACCTTTTCTAACGTGCGCGTGCCACTCTCTGCCCATCTTGTCGCTGTGGATTGTTAGGGGCCGGGTTTTCCTATGTAGAGCTGGCTGCTTAGAAAAAACAGAGAACCCTAAACTTGAGAAGGTTGGACTTAATGAGCAATGTGTCCTGTAAAGCGCAGTCTTACTCAGCAAGTTGCCCTTCGTGTGCTGGGCCTCCTTTTGCGGGAGCCCTGCCCCGGGAGAGAGCGGGATAGTGGGAAGACTCGGGCCTCTGAGGCCAAGACTGGGCTCAAATATGGCACTCAGACGTGAAGAAAAGGATATTGCGTTTTCCTGGCCAACAAGAGGATGGAGTTGGATAAGACAGGAGAAGGTTCTTGAAACGCTAGCGGACTATTGGGACATGCCGTGTCATGGTTATTAAGGCCTTATACTCCCGATCCTACATGCCTGGGGACTTTGAGTTCCTCCCCTTCTCCAAGCCTCACGTTCCTAACTATAAGATGGGTATAAAATAAAACTTCCCATATATGTTTTCCTTTTAATTGTAGTAGATGCTTTTGAATGTTTTAGGAGAGACATACCTTGTTTGACAGTATATGAAACAGTATTTTACATTTTTATTTTTTTATATTTACCTGAGTTTGCATTTTAAAACATTTATTAGATATCTTGGGGTAGCAGTGGTTAATGGCATGATAGAAATTTAAGGAGTACAACTTGATAATAGGACATATGTACTGGTATCATCTATTGTGCGCTCACCGCTCTAGTCTTCTTCTCACCTCTTTGACCCCCTTTACCCTCTTCATCCTCCCCCACCCCTTCTCCTCTGGCCATTCGGAGGGTCCAGTGAGGTAGTGCCCAGGGGCCTCTTAGCATGACACCTGACCATTGAAAGCATTTGGCGACTATAGCTTGAGCAGGGTAGACTGTGCTTTGATCTGTTTTGATTTTCCCAGCCTCTCTGTGATATTGTAAGGACATCATTATCTCCATTTTGCAAAGAGGATATTGGAACACAGAGATATTCAAGATCTTGCCACATCACATCATGAGAGAAACACAAGCGAAGACCAGTGAGTTCCCAGAGCTCATTGCTGCAGTGCACCTCACCCCTGGGGCTCTGGGCAAGGCTGCACGAAATGTAAGTCCTCACATCCTCCCAGCACCCAGTTATCTGTCCCCAACTGATCCGGCTGGAGGGGCAGGGAGCCATCCTCAAGCGTCTCAGATGTCAGTCCTCCGAGGTTTAGGCTCCTCCTGTCCTTCTTGCAACATGGCAATCGCTTTCGATTGTTAGGGGCTTATTTCTGCCAGGGATTGTGCTAGATAGTGTGCCATTTGCGGATTTCACAAATGATGTACTAGGCTCAGAGGGAGAGATTCGTGCTGAAGGGGGATAGCTAGCAAGTTGTCACGTCTTGACCACAATTAATTAGGTTAGTCAGTTTGATTCCATTGAGGGCTTTAAATCACTTGACTATGTGCTTCAAGTTCAGGTGTAAGGTTCTCACAGGCAGAAATGACTGATCATCAGGCTTGCCCGAGGGGCTCATAAATTCAGAATCCTGGTAACCACCTTTAGAGACTGATTCAGCAGGTCTAGGTGGGACCAAGTGTCTGCATTTTTAAAAATTCGGGTGAGTCCTGCGACCAGCCAGACATGGGAAGACAGCTCTAGGAAACACGCCCAGTTGCCCTATGGGGAGTCCTTCCTTGAAGATAGGTTAATTCACTTCTTCTCATCCTTATTTCTGGTGCCTCTCTCACCTTCCAGATTAGGGTTTCAGTTTAAACATCAATGTTGATGGAGAGCCTACAGTGAGCAAGACTCACTGTTCTAAGGGCCAGCTGTGCTCACAGCCAGGGCTGGTGCATATGTGAGCTTCTAGAAGCATATTTCTTTGCAAGATTTTCAGGTTGTTTTTTGTTTTTTGTTTTTGTTTTGTTTTGTTTTGTTTTGTTTGCGTGTGTTTCTTGTGATATCTGTTGTCCCAGAAATCAAGTCCCCTTTTATCTGTGTTTTCACAACACCACTTATAAATTAGCACCTGGTTCCACGACCAGTAAAACTGGTTGACAGCACAGGTTCAAACAAGTGGAACCCCATCTGCAGAAGGAATGAAGCAACCACTGGTTAGGGACCTCTGGTCTGGCCCACAGAACCTCTTAGGAGAGAGCTTTTCTACCTCCCCTAGGGCAGCCCCGCCTTCTTCCTAATGACTTTTCTACCCCTGGCCTTTACCCAGTGGATGTGGACAGAGGCTGGGAAAGAGGTGGAGAAGTGGTATGTATGGTCCATGCAGTGATTCTGCACCCAGCTCCACGTTAGCATTGCATGGGAATTCCTAAAGTATGTAGACAGGTGCCTGAGTCCCCCAAAGTCAACGAAATCAGAACTTAGAGGATGGCATCTGGGCAAGGGTTTTTGTTGTTGTTGTTGTTGTTGTGTGTGTATGTGTGTGTGTTGTTTGTTTTTGAAGTTTCCCAAGTAATTCTAAGTGGAGAAGCACTGGTGTAGCAGAGAACTGGGCCAGGAATTGGGAAGAGACCTTGTTCAACATTAGCCTGTGTGACCATTTCCCAGTGGCTCTCCCCCGCTGAGCTTCTTTGCAGGCCTAGAAAATGAGGATGCTACAGTAGATCTCTCAGACGAGTCTCTCTATTTTCAGCTGTTACATTCTAAGTGTTCCTGGTCTGAAGTCAGCTCAGATGAAGAGGGAGGGTCTTGAGGGAAAATGGCAGAGATCTTGTTCCTTTACAAGGGCCAGA